CCTTACGCAGCCCTTTAGAAAAACCAAATCTCAAAGTAAGGATTCATTTCAACTGAAAAATAAAACCAACACCGACTGTCTTTAAGTGTAAAACCTGTTGGAGAGAGGCAGACAGCGGAGGGAAGAAGAAGCACAAGTGTACGAGACCCATGGTTTTTGAAGGACCATTCGCCACCCCTAATTGAAAGGGAACAAAGAAAAAATGAGTATTCTCAAGGGATCAGTGTGCTTGTGTATCCTCCTGGCAGGCCTTTATTTTAAGCCCCGTTCACACTACGACAAAGGAATTTTAAAACGGAGTTATCACTCTGAAAACGCATCAAATGTTTTCCGTTTACACTACGCCAAAGGAATTTGAAAATGCAACAATTACCGGCCATTTTGGATTTGTGGTTGAGTAAACCTCGGACAGAGAAATATCATGAATAACGTGATGTCATCGTTTTCAAAAAATCTCCGTTTTCAAAATGTTTTCTGTCCACACGCAAAGCCACGTTATCGAATTTCTCCAGTTTGAAGTGCATTTTCGAAAAGCTCGGTTTTCGTGACGGATTAGCGTGGACAGTAGGCCTAACCGTTGAAATGAAGCTGCGTCGGTTCAAATTCCTCCGGCGTGGTGTCGACGGAGCCTCACACAAAAGGTGATGATCAAGACATTTTTTTCCCTACATTTGCTGGTTGTAATTATTGTCCTAGTTAATAGTTTTTTTTTATATACTACAGTTTGGAATTTGTATGTTAATTCTCTGAATGACTTAACACGTACAAAATAATACAACACCATCTTTTAGAATTTTTAGCGCCTTTATGTCGTTTCGCCCGCCCGAAAGTCGAGAGCTTGTGTTTTTATCATACCTTTAAGCGGAGAACGTTTTATATTTTACCTGATCTTGTAGGTTTGTATGAAACATCCGATAGTTTTTAAGTATATATCGTAAACTATATCGTGAACTCAAAACCGTATATTATTTTTTCTATTTATTCATTTATTTATTTTCAATATTTTTTCCATTATTTAATACATTTTTTTATCATTTTCCGTATGGTAGTAACTATACTTGAAATCATCTTTAAGGTATAATTCACTCATATATGTTGATATTGAAAATTCAAAAGCCGCTACCTTTTATTTTTCTCTATCTCTTGCTCTCTACATGGCGAGCTCGGGATATTAAGATTTTTATGTATTATGAAATAGCCGGATTACATTTAAAAGATGTAATTAAAGGTATAAAACTGGGTAGAAAACTCTTTGTAATTCCCCTTAAACACATTTGTAATACTATAATAAAAACATCATGACATGAGATTAATGAAAACCAGGCACTTATGATTTTTGTCTTAATAGCTGTTTGTTCCCGTCGCGAACCCTCACTTTCAAACGCCCTATACTAGAATGAGTTATGGAGAAGTGGCCGAAACCGAATGAGTAGAATGATGATCCCGAATGGTCTCGAATGGTCCCAATTGGTCCTGAATGGTCCCGAATGGCTCGCAAATAACAAATCCATCTAAAGCAAAAAGCACTCAGAAATATACGGAAATTAAGTAACTCTCCCTAAAACTTTTTAATTTTTTTTTTTCCGATTTGCCACATAAACCACAAAGCCATTTAAACTAGCGTTCGAGATTGAGTCTGCTCGACGCAGGGTTCTTTCCCTCTTTTAAAACCATTACCAGAAATAACCCTGTCTAGGAAAAGCTAATAACACGAGGCGCCCAATACAAAGAAACAATAACGATCAGAAGAGAAGAAAAATCAGTTGCAAGGGACAAAGCATCATAAAAGAAATAAGTATAAGCTCTACTGGCCTTATATTACGAAAGCCGTTCTCTGATTGGCTTCTCTTCTCGCTATCTATTCTAAAGGTGTAGAGTAACTTAGCGGTACGGTTGTTAACAAAATGGCAGCCATTTCTTTCCGTTTTCGAAGTATCGGTGAAGAGGGTTAAAATAAAGTTTTGAACTAGTAGTAGATTTACACTAAAACAGTACGATTATGAGCTCTTGATTGGTTGACGAGGGCGCAGTCCGAGTTAAATAGTATTTGTTGAATAGTGTTATATTGTTATTGTTATTATGCTCTTAAATAGAAATCTCGAGCTCATAATCCAATTGTTCAATAGTGAATAAGGTCACTGCGACGACAGCCGGGGGCAAAGGACCAAAGAAGCGCGAAACGAAATATCGGGAACCCTTTTACACGAATGCCGTAAATCCTCGAATTAGCGCCCGGGGCGCTTATTTCAACTTTAGGAGAAGATGGGGGGCGCTTATTCGAGGGGGACGCTTAATCAGTGGGGCGCTTATTTATTTTTCCCCAAATCTTGGCCTGACATGATCATTTTGTAAAACAACAACATAAGCTGTTTATCGACATA